TTTTGTCTGTTAGCCAATCAAAAGCTGCGACAGGCTCACGAAATCAAACAACTGATAAAAACTGGTTTTTGAGTTGAAGATATTCAAACTAAAAACTGTGCAATGAAGCTTCAAAACTACTACGAGTGATTACTGCAAAGTTTTGGTTCAAAAATCATCATTATCGATAGAAGGAAGTATGAAGGAGTTCGAGTGGCAAAGTCATAACAAAAAAACTGGTTTTGTGCTACATTTGAGGATGTAAACAAAGCGAAAATCATTGAACTTAAAACAAGAAACTTCCAGATCACAACTCAACTTTAATCGGAGAAAGTTTCGGAGGAATTTTATTTCAGGGACATTTCTCTTTTTCAATTTTCATTGCGGTAAAAATACGGTCCATGTAAAAACAAGACTCTTCATATAGATAACCAAATATCTTTATGTAAAAAAGAAGTAAAAGTAAGATTATATTTTGCTTACCGTTTTTTTTAAACCAGTTTCAAGTCTGTTTTGCAATGTTGTAGATTTGTCCTTAAAAAGTTCGGTAATCTTCAAAATTTGGATTTTAATGAAAGACATCCAAGGTAAATTTCACTAAATCTGATATTTATTGGATTATCTGTAATTATCTTTCGTTTTTCAAGTAAAAATAACAAGGAATTCAAAGCGTAATTTTCGTAAACATCCAAATACATAAGTAATTTGTTTGCCTTGAGAATGCTCAAAAATTTTGAGCACTCCCATGGACATACATTGTTTTTTTTATCTTAATTTTATGGTGCCTTGAGTATGCTCAAAAATTTTGAGCACTCCCATGGACATACATTGTATCTCTGTCCTAATTTAATGATGACTTGAGTATGCTCAAAAATTTTGAGCACTCCCATGGACATACATTGTATTTCTGTCTTAATTTTACGGTGCCTTGAGTATGTTCAAAAATTTTGAGCAATGTGGTGGTAAAATTTATCATATAATGCCAAATAGCTTGTATAGGAGGATTTATACAGCTTGTTTAGTAATAAAAAAGCATACAGATGGACGTGAAGGATTAAAAGTGTTAATTTTAAGCCAGTTTTAACATTGCATTTACAAAAAACACTGAACCGTGTCTTCTCACACTGTTTTGTAATAACCATGGCAAGCGATCACTGAAAAACCCTTCATTTTGTTTATCCTTATCCATGCCTTCATAATGTACATATTGTAAACACAGATATTTTGCGTGTTGATTAAAGTAAAGGAGGACCATACTTGCGTATTGCCTATTTATTGAAGTAGCTTTCAAAGTCCCTTTCTTAGGTTTTTGAACCAAGAAAATGAAATTTTCGCTGAAGTTTGCTAGTGTTTAAAAAAATTGATAAACAACGAATGGCAGTTCATCCATTGGCATGCTAGTTTGGCTAATAAAACCATTCTAATTCATTATTTTCTAAAATGGAAAATCCCAAAATACTTTGGAACCGGTTCATATTGGTGCGGTATAGCGGTAAAAAATACACTCGTCTTACTCTTCGTTTCGTTTATTTGATTGCGTTAGAGAGTTCCTAATAAAGAAGGAAAGATTAC